ATTTTTTTGTATCTGCCTTACCAACGGAGAAATTTGGGTGGGTCCCGTAAAATGGCCCACCCTGTATAGTATGTGGCGCACATATTTTTCCCCACTCTTATTACGTGACTACTTTACTTCACCATTTCCCGAGTGCAGAGCATAGTGGCGCTGAAATTTGTCCCCTATTTTTCCAAGAATAAGTTACGACCATGGTCGTACATACACACAGATTTGGAAACAATATCGAATTTCGAATGGTGGGTGTGTCTCCGCTAACGAGTTGAGCTTTTGTTTGCGCTATCGTCACTGTTCGTCGCTGCTGTTGGGGGATACATGCAAGGAAAGCGATTTATGCTACTGCTGTCTCTGTCTCGCATATCTATATCTATTTACCATAGCACACCTTGCGGCTGAAAATCAAAGTAAAAACTAGAATGTTAAGAGAAACAACCCCTACTACTGTTGTTTCCAGACATGTATATAAGACCGTGGTTACGACTCCTTGCTCAGGCACCTCTCCTTTCCTTTATTCTTCAACACTTTTTTCACTATCCTCCGTCATGTACATTCTGTCAAATAAATACCGAGAATTGTTCTTTTAAAAAGCCCGCGTAAAAGGTATGAAAAATTATTTGCTGTAAGTTGGTACCAATGTACCGAATTATCACGTTTTGGCGCCATCTGTCAATTAGTTTGTTTATAGCTGTTGGTGTTGTTAGTCGACCTCAAGTATGCTTTGCGATTTTTTAAATGGATAAAAATATTGAACAAAGAGTTTGTTTCAAATTTTGTGTTGCCAACGAAATATCTTGTGCTAAATCGTTGAAAATGTTGAAGAAGGCCTACGGTGAGTCAGCTTTGTCGAAATTTGTGGAAGAACAAATCTTGAATTTTGCACCATATACATATATAATACACCGTCCCACACATCAATCCTTGTACGCGAATTTTTGACCAAAAACTCAACGAATGTCATCGACCAAGCACTGTATTCGCCAGATATGGTCCCGTTTGACTTTTTCTTGTTCCCCAAACTAAAATTACCACTTCGTGGAAGACGTTTTGAGTCCATTGAAGTCATAAAGCAAAATTCGCAAAAGGAGCTGAAGGCTCCATACCGAAAAGTGCCTATAAGAAGTATTTCGACGACTGAATTATTCGTTGGCATAAGTATATCGCTTCAAATGGGGCCTATTTTGAAGGCGACAACATAAATTTGGATGATTAAATTATAATAATATTTTGTGTTTTGTTGAATAATTCCCGGTATTTATTTGACAGAATGTACTTCCACTTGTCCCCAATCTGCATACTTCTCCCGCATACATGCTTCTACATACATATCTTTCCTTCTACAGGTTCAACATGTTCTCTTCTTCTCTTTTTAGTACCTCTCTCTCCTCATTCTCAGCCTAAAACTGCCTTATGCCATCTATTCTCTTAATTCTTTGTTAAAGAATTCATTTTACAATTAGGATGCCTTTCTGTCGATACATACCTACGTATCTACTCCTCATCACTGAATAATACTGGAAAGAGCGCTTCCCAATTTCTTTTTGTTGCGCGTGTCACTAACTTACCACTTCCAGGTCATAATGACACTAGAAATTATTCATTTCTTTCCAAGAGTAGATTGTAAACTTTTTCATAAAAAATACCAATAGTAATTGTATATTTCTACTTGTTATATTTCTACTGCACTTTAATTTGTAGGACTGATTTAGATTTATTATTTAGGAGAGGAAAATATTTTTAAATTTATTTAATAAGAAATTGCTTGTAATACTAAGGAATATTTACGTTATTCAATAGCTACACTTTGTCTTTCAACATTTTGTTTTTAAGTTTTTTTTCATATTTCTTGGAAAATTAGAAGGTTCTGTTATTTTGAAGCAGATTTAGGAAAGTAATGTTGTTTGTATTTTTCAGCATGATACGGAAATCCCACATGGAGTACAGATTAAGGAAGAGCCTATGGATACAACATCAAATGCAACCGAAAATTGTATATTAGTTAAAAATTATTACAGTTTAGTCGATCACAATTATCATCAAGGTAAATTATCATTATCTAAAAATGATGCTTTGTATAAAGACATAAATAATACAGAAAATAGGCAATCATCGAATGACGATTCTATACATTTGAATGATGTAAACAAGACTATTAATACAAAGTGTAAAAGTGTAAAACCGACAAAAGAAATGCATAACACGTTAGAATTTAAGAAACGAAAATGTTCTAAAAAAGTTTCTAATAAGATAAAGCAAAATGTTACATTAGACTGTAAAACAAATATCGAGTTATCAAGAAAATTGAGACGCTGTGACATATGCTTTAGATCTTTCTCTACTGTTAAAAGTTGTGAAGCCCATAAACTATATTACGAATTAAATGATAACTTGCGAAAAAAATCTTGCGGAACAAATGATAAATTACCGTCTCTTGGTATTAACAAAGATCCATATGCATATAAGTGTAATTTTTGCATTCGTGTTTTTTGGGAGAAAGCTTTATTACAATCTCACCTGTTTCATATTCACAATGAATTAATATGTTCTAAAAACACAATTAAACGCAAGGCTTACAAATCAAAGAATATAAATTCATCTAAAGGTGGTCCTTTAAGTTTAACTAGTAAAAATGAAGAATTATGTTCAAATAATCTCAGCAAAGATAATTTTAAATCAGAGAAGGTAAATACTATACTTATAAATAATGTCAATGAATCTTCGGACAGCAATGTGATAAATACTGAAAACTCAAAGATCAAAAAATTATTTAATAATGAAAAGTTACCAACCAAAAAATTACGGCAACCAACATTAACGGAATACCTTGAATTTTGCAAAAAGAAACGCGATCAACTCAGTCCAAATAAATTAAATATGGAAAATAATTTTCCATCATGTACATTAGATCGAGATGAACAAAAAGAAGAAAATCCAAAGCCAAAACTTTCAAAAGGACATAATGGTAAAATTGATTCTTTACCAATAGAATCAGATAATCTCTCAAAAACAGCACATTCTATTCTGGAACAAACAACTATGAAACATGAAATATGTTCACCTAAAAAGCCATTTGTAAAATTACATGCAGATGTCGAAATAATGAAATCTTTTCTGGAAAACCTTTCTGATATGAATGTCGAGGATCAAATGACCAAATATGAAACAAGTGACAATGATTGTGAGGTTTCATATGATCGTGCACCACCCTACAGATTGCGACGTAGACCCTGTTATTTCATGAGAGACATTAGATACGTAAGAACAAATTTGAGATCAAAGAAGAACAAAAATGTATCTAAAGAGTCTCAAATTGACATAGAATACGATACTGAAACGAAACGGAACGTTAGTGATGTAGATCCTAAGATAGATCTTAAAGATTGGAAATCTATTATGGCTTATTTTAAGTGTAAGGAGTGTACAATTCCTTTAATAAGATGTGATGCACGTCCAAAAGATCTTTATCAGATTTCTACAATTGATACCATGAAAAACACTTCCCTTGCTACTCAGTGCAATTCTACAAATTCTGGCTCTCAATGCAACTCTTTGGTTGAAGAAAGTAATGTACAAAATAAAATAATGCTCAAGGACTTAGAGGTTTCTCTGGAACGTCTAACAGCTGTTCCAATTACAGTAAAAACAGACATAAACATCGAAAACCATGATAACAATTATTTTGTGTGTAAAGTTTGTCAAGAGAGATTTTCTTCCAAATTGGACAAACGTAGACATATTAAGTCGTCTCATATAGCATATATGTCAAGCATATGTAATGCACGATATACACTAAAGCATAAGTTACTTCAGCATTACTTATGTGAACATCTATCTCAACCAAATGAGTGTTGCATTTGTTACACGTTATTACCTGATTATGAAGCGCTGAAGCAACACTTAAATGTTCACTGTCTGAAATACATTCAAAGCAAGGACAGTCAGTATCCGATAGATATTGAGTTAAAATGCACCATGTCCGAATCTTATAATTGTCTTGGTTGTAACGAAACATTTTCGTCGCAATCATCTTTAGAGTCGCATCAAAGTTGTTGCATAATAAAAATGGAAAAAAATCTGGAAGATTCCATGGAAGAAGCATATCCGAAGAACATTCCTGAGATACTGCAAAAGAACATCGATGAAAATACAGTCACATGTGATAAAGAGATTAATCGAGATGATTTACGTAAACCTGCAAATAGCGACTGTGTAGCAGAAAACTTAAACAAACAGCAAGTATCGCTTTCTAGTGCAAAAGAAGCGGAAATTAATGAGGCTACTCAAAACTTTCTTGTTAATAATAACTTAACTGAGGAGAAAAGCAAGACTGTCAACAAATTACAAGACTCTGAAGGACTTTTAGAAAATAGTAATTCCACAAGTAGCAATCAGAGTGTTACAAGTAGCAATCAGAGTGTTACAAGTACACAATTGGATAACACTACAAGAGCTAAAACTTACACTCCCTGTGATATATGTGGAAAACAATTTCAAACTCTCAAGAATTTGGAGATACATAAACGCACTTTCAGCTTTATTACCGATATCTGTCCAATGTGTGGCACTGGATTCAGTTCTAAACGTTTTTTACAGACACATATCACTGCAGCACATGTACCACATATTTCAAAGACTTATAGCTTTCATTGCGTATTCTGTAATCAAGGTTTTTTCAAAAAACACGATCTTAAGTCTCATATATTACACTTGCATAATAAACAATTGCTTAGTACACTCACGCGCAATAATGATGTGAGTGCAGGGAAATCTGATCACCCATCAATTAAGCATGTCACAACATGTAACATTTGTAATTTGGCATTTGAGACTCATGATTGTTACGTAGAACACCGGATGTACTATTATGAAAACCATACATTCCAATGTTCACTTTGTGCGCAAAACTTTCAAGGAATGTACATGTTTCATCATCACAACAAACTGGTACATTGTTCACAAGATAAACGCAAGTCGTATAGATATATTTGCGACATATGCAACGAGGGATTCAATCATGAATCACATTTTCATTCTCATAGTATGCATGTTCATTCGAAAGATTTAAATTTGGGTGAATCTGCCAAAGAATGTGGAGAAAGAAATCGTTCTGATTATTCACCCAACGTCCCGGAGAAGATTACAAATTTTTCTATGGATCAACAAAAGCAAAACAAACAGTTGTCCAACGAGTATATTTGCCAAATTTGTCAGTTGAAATTTACAGATACAAGTGATATGTTAAGACACAAAGAACTTCACTCCAATGACGGTGATTTTAAATGTGACAAGTGTGACAGACGATGCAAAACAATTACTTTACTTGATCAACATAGGAAATTAACTCACATTTGTCGTGATATTTATAATGGATATGAGTGTCGTATTTGTGGCGAGGTTTTGGAAACTGTTACTTCATTAAAATGCCACGAGAAACACTTTCATTCAAATATTATCAATAATGATACGGATAAGCGGGAAAATAATGATGAGGTATCATCTACGAAGAATACATGTCAATTAACGAAATACAATTGTTTATTCTGCGATATGAAGTTTTCCAAAGCTAGCACTGTTCAAGCACACCTTGTTAATGTCCATATGGATGATATGATAAATAAGCAAGCTATTTTAAAACTTCCTCGTCCCATTACTAATAACAATGACTTTCAGAAACAATTTAAAATATCTGATCCATCATTGTCATCGAAAGATAATTCAACTCAGCTTCTTCAAAGATCAACGATTCAACATGACCTTCAGAAAAAAGTTGTTGAAACTAATCCAGCATCATCACCGAAAGATAATTCAACTCAGCTTCTCCAAAAATCAGCGGCTCTACATGATCTTCAGAAACAAGTTGTTGAAACTCATCCAGCATCATCATCGAAAGATAATTCAACTCAGCTTCTCCAAAAATCAACAACTCAACATGATCTTCAGAAACAATTTGTTGAAACTAATCCAGCATCATCATCGAAAGATAATTCGCCTCAACTTGTCCAAAGATCAACGGCTCAACAATCTGTACTTGATATCCTACTAAACAAGCGGACTAGTACTCTAACGGAAGATAAAACTGCTACTGAATTATTAAAGAAATTTAAAATAACGACTAAAAGCAATGAAACTACAAAAGATACTCCAATTTCTGCAATTCCATGTATTAACAAATCTAAAGATATTTCGACAATTAGTACTATTGCACCAAATGCAGCTACCTCAGTTTCTTCATTCACTGGGCCAACAATTGCTAAAACTATCGTATCAAATACTGAATCCAAAGATAATACTTCAGTTCCTTTACCTGGATCAACTAATGATCTCCGTTACAGAAAAACTTATGGAGTGTTTTCAAAATCTGGGTCAAGCAATGAATTTAAAGCTAATTCAGTCTCATTACTGAAGAGGTCTATAACAAATAAATCCAAAACAACACCTGTATCCTCTTTATTACCTGGACCTTCATCAACTGGATCTACACTCAAAGTAATACCACAAAGCTGGAAAAGCAATGAAATTACAAATCAGAAGTCAGTGAACCATTCTAATTCTGCTTATTCATGTCCGTTATGTCCGCTAGAGTATCCAGATTTGATGTTTTTCCATGCGCATCTCAACTATGCTCATGTAGATAGTGTTCGAACTAATAAATCTATGCCGCAAATAATTGAAATTGAAACAATACCTATGATAGAATGTTTATTATGTCCATGTAATTTCATGGATGAGGTCACGTATAAGAAGCACTTGAGAAATTCTCATACGTATTATGTGTATATGTCAAACTCTAAAGAAACGACACAAACCAAAAACGTGTTTAATCCTTCAACAACACAGAACCGCACCACTGGAGAAAGCAAAATTCCTGAAGTAATTACTGTAGATGATGATGAGAATAACGATAATATCAAGAATACATCGAATCAACAAATAGCCGAAGTAACAGCCACGCTTGATTGTGGAAAACAAGATAATAAAATTGGCAAATTGAGAGTGAAGCCTTTTGCAAAGATTATTGAGACTTTATCTGCGGATTCTGCGTTGTAATTTCTGTAAACTAAGCAAATTCCAAATCATTTTAATGACAGAATTGCTATAAAAAAACAAGTTTCAACAATACTGAAAGTTAATGATGTATGTGCCAATTCATAAAATATGTAATGATAAATTTTACAAATGCAAATAATGTTTAAGTTGTGATAATTTATTGCAGAATGATTATTGAATAATGAAAGAAATTCACAATATCTAACAGAGAAAAACTTACCATCTACATAGATATTTAATTAGTATCCTTAATTAGTGACCAAATATTAATTACTCAGCTATACCTATTTTACTTTGCCGAAACAAATCGACTAATCTTTTTCGCAAGGTCGTACCTCGATTTTACACAATTTTCAGATTTTCTGTTTAAACGCCCAGTCTGGTCCTAAATGAGTGTTTAAGCAGAAAAACGAAAAGTGCGTAAAATCGAGATACGACCTCAGTCAAAATATACTTTATTTTAATTGATTAAACAGATAAAAAACTACATTTTTAATAAATGTGATAAAACTATTGTAAGATAAACCAATGTAGAAAATTGTTAAACGATGATAACTGGCAAATTCATATATTAAATGCATATATCAACATTAGATTGTTTATTGCGACAAATATTACCATATGCCTTAGTGGTCGAATTGGTGAAACGCCCGCTTAGAGTGTAGGGAAGGCCAAGTTCAAACCCTGATTGAGGTAATATTTTTCTACATTGGTTCATGTACTGACGTTAAATAATTCTTTACGTTAAAAGTAAGATAAGTTAATTATTATCAATTTGTATGAAAGTGTTTAAATAGGAAGATAAGTAGTTATCGATATATTTATATCCAATTATCAAATAATAAGTAAGTGATTTAGGTTAGTATTTTATATTAATTAGTATTGCAAGCTTATTTAAATATGATGATATTGTGAAATGGTGTAAATTGTCATTATTTAATTATGTTACGAAATAATGTTGATAAATACATTTTGTCAAATAAAAATAATGATTTAAATTTTGAAGATAATTAAAATCAACATTACGTCTTGACATTTTTAAATTTGTTACATACAGGCTTAAGTAAGATTAGTTGTTCCAGTATTAATGGTTTTATAAGTAATATTCTGAAATTTTTGTTTGGTTTGTAAATATACTATTGTACTACCACCAGTAAATTTTGCTTATTATCAATGTATCTATAAACATTGTAAAAAAAATCAATAAAAACTTTGTGAATGTTACTAGAATTCTTTTGTAATATTATTGTATAAACTTATCCTAACTCATCTTTTTCTCCTCCTTTTTCTTTTTATCTCTTTTCGCTTTCCTTTTTTTCCTCCATCTCTCTTTCTTCATCTTTTTTATCTTCTTACTTTATTCCTTTCCTTTTTTCTCTCTATACTCTCTTTTTCTCTTTTCTTTTCTCACACTATTTCTTCTATTTTTTCAGTTTGGCAAATGTTTAAAATTAATATTTATTTCAGATTACTACTTACAATTAGAAATGTGATTGAGATAAGTTTCTACGAAATCTTAATGTTAAATCATGATTTTTGTATCATAGATATATGTTATATTAACAATTTTTAATGCTATAAACGAGTTTACATGTGCGTTGAATTAGTCACTGCGAGTGTTATGTTTGATTAAGCGGCTAAAAGTATCAAATAAGGATTACACCGCAGGCAGTAGTATACATGATCCATTCGTCAAAAATATTCAGCATTGAAATAGCTAATAAATATAATTGATTTATTATAAAGGTTCTTTTTTTTGCAATTTTCCATCCTTTTGTAACACTAATTCTTTTTACAACAAAGAAAGAAATTAATGATAAGGTATTTACTTTGTTTATTTTTGACAAAAATATGATTTTTAACAGATAACAATGCATTTATATGATAATAGAAAATTTTCTGAATATCTTAAATGTTGTGTATTATTAGTTTTGAATTTATTTGTTTAATGTATTATATTATGTCGAGATGTGCGAATTTTGGACAATTTGTCACACAAAGTCTGAAACATTCTGTACACGAATAGTGACTTGTAATTAGTAACTTGAAGTGCAATATAAATAGAAAATTTTATTTTAAAATGTCTTAGAAGATAGTTGTAAAGTATGTAAAATAAATATTTGAAACATATTCAATTGCGAATATGCACGTATACATATATAAATATATTTTGCAGCTCTTACAGATATATACACAACACATATATACATATAATAATTAATATTCATCAATCAAATTATCCTGTTGTATATTTTCTTTCAAATAAATATGATTTTCTCGAAAATAAATGTTTTAATACCTGTATCACAAAGTGTAAATATGTTATAATATTTATATATAAGTAATTTGATTAAAATCTTATAATTTCGTAATTAAAATTATGAGATTTTAATTAAATTACTTATATACAAATAACTTACAAAAGCTGACCTTTCGAATTTTGCAATTTGCAGCTATAAGGAACAATATTCGTAAAGGATATGTAGTAGTAGGATTTTTCAGTAGAGTGTTGCTATTTTAAATATCTTGGAGGATAAAGAAAATATATATTTTCTTAGATATCAAGAATCTCTATTTTAATCCGTCTTGATTTATGTGAATCAAGCTGGAATTATGGATATAGCGCGTCGCAAAAAGAGATCATGGTCTGTGAATTTTATTACACTATCTGACCCGACCGACATGGATTTTCACTACTCTCCAGGTTGCCTATATTCGACATAACGGCCGTAAAAGTCTTATAACGGTTTAAGGACGCGCTTCCGATGGCCGGGAATTTATTCTTCTCTCTTTGCCTTGCGTATCAACTTGATTTCTTCGAAACGGCACCATTCACTATTAAATAATCATGTCAATTTGTAGATTGCAGTTATTTTATGTGTGGTAATGTTAATCAATTAGTTTGCTCTTTTTTAAATAACGGAATTATAATTTCAAATATATAAATTCCTAAAATAACAATAGAAATGGACTATGTTATTTGACTTACAGTAATCTGCTTTTTAACTTCAAATTTGGGATTTGTTGTGTTGCCGATCAACTCTGGTCTGACGCGTTCATCGAAAAACAATCGCATGATCGAATCGCAATCACGCAGAATACATACAGGCGCTTCTATTCCAATTTTTAACTTGCATCATAAACATCCGTGATTAACTTTACATCATTGGACGATTCGTGTTAATGGGATTTGCCGATTGTAATTATGGTGGCTTTGTCGAGCTGCAATTTACCAATCTGTATCTGTTGAAAGCGACCTATACTAGGAGATTAGTTCGCAATGTGATCAACCGATTAATTTTTGGCGCACAAAATAAAATCCAAGAATTCACGAATTGAAAAGACTCAAGTTACGACAGGTAATATTGTAGTTGATGATATTCTTTCAATATGTCATACATTTTGCAAAAGTGCTGAAGAATAAATAATATGTTCAAGACAAAAATTCACGTCTATTTTAGTTAGGTCTAATATGTTACTTGAAAATATATAACTAAGGCGAAGATATAAGTACATGAGAATAGGAGAATCTAAAACTAATTTCGACAAAAATCAACAAATAAAGATGAAAAGAATATTTTCTCACTGGGAACAGTGAGAAAAACGCATTTAAGATATTTCATTTAGAATAAGGCAACGTGTAATAATGAAAAAAAAAATTCGTTTGCAAGAATAACGAGCGCTAAGTGCTCGAGTAAATTTAGGAAGCCTGAATAGACCGTGCTCTTGTCAACGAACACCAGGTTCCTCTACAAAAGTATTCCAAGTACAAGAGTGGCCGTGCTTGTCTTCGACTTGGTTTGAAATTAGCAGTTAGTTAGGGGTCTGTGGTTGTCAAGAAACGTATGGAAAGTTTTCCCCGGCTTGCTTCAAGTTTCGTCAGGGATGGGGTGTTTTAAATGGCGTACAAGTCGGCTCTGTACGCTGATATTCCATTTCAAATAGTACCGTTTATTCAACTTTACTTTGTTATGAACAAAGGTTTCCGAATTAAAATGTTGCCTAACGTATTTAAAGTCTTTCATTCTTGCGACCAAAATATCGCTATTTGTTTCATAAATCTTGAAATATTTAAATTTTGAAGAAGAAAGGATTTAAGAACCACAAAAATTTATTTCTTCTTGGGATACTAAAATCTTTGTTAAGATAATTATAAGGTACATGAACAAATATATAAGTATTCGATGACTCATATATGATAAGGATATTTCTTGGATTTTTTCTATTTTTATTATCTCATATTATCTCTCACTCACGACTGTCAAATAAAAAAAGGTCTTGCTATATTCATGCTATCAAGCTTCAATAATAAATTGCTATTCAATTGATTGAAAAGAGTCTATCGTTGTTTTTTGGTCTTGTCTCGTTCGCTGAATCACTAATCTCACACTTTCGGACACTAAGCTGTCTGAAAGGGTTTACGAACAACTGGGATGGACTGAGATGAAAGAGTTACAGGATGGAGGTGAAAGTAGAGAAAAGATCAGTGAGGAAGAAAGCAAAGACGATTATCCTAATACAATCCATCTTTCTGGTGAAGCTCAACCCGTAAGGTGATCCTTGGTAATAAATATTTCGCCAAGAAACTCGACTATTTCTTGATTAAACTTTCAATAAAAAAAAATCTTTACAACAATTATTGTGTTTTATTTTAATTGCATGTCATTTACAGGATAATTATTAGGTAAATTAATAATAATTTAAAAAATAGGAATAATGTTAATGAAGAATAATTAATGCGGCGTCTACAATGACTTTAAGGCGTAAGATTTCAGAAATTAATCAATCACAGTCGAATGTGAGGTAAATACTCATTGTAATTGGTCAATTTCCTAAATCTTTACGTCTTGAAATCTCATTGTAGGCACCGCGTGAAACATGCATTAACACAGCACAAGAGTAATTTTAAACTCAGAAAGATATGAAAAGAGAGAGAGAGGGAGAGAGTTTCATTGAGTCTGAAGAATGCTGATTCTAGATAAATCATATCTGCATGAAGAAAGGATATGTCTAAGGGGACTGAATGGAAAAGGACGAAAGAAAGCGTTGCCATAGGAAAAAGGTGGAGTATTCCGTTGATGGAATCCATTGTTTCGCTTATCGATTACATGTTTCCGTGTGAATTGAATTGTAGCGATTCCGACTATTCGATTGCGTTCCACGATTAAACCAATATATGACTATCGATTACATTTGATATGGCATAGAAAATATTTTAGACAAACAGGACATCCTAAAAATTCTTTACTTCTGCAAATTGCCAATGAATGAATTCACTCTAAATAAAAATCAGCTAAATTTTACAGTGAAATCAAACTTTCCTCGTAGAACTGTTTTATATTTTACGATAAAAAGTACATGAATTATATAGAAATTTTAATAAAAAGGCTAGTGATACAGGAATATTCATTCTTTTTTCTTATATTTTTACAAGGTAAAATGCTCGTAACATGTGAAAGCAATGATAAGTAATGTATTTAT